GGAATGTATTACCTCGTCATTTACGACAGAGTTTTACGTAGTGTGCATCGTACAGAGGGAGAACAGAGCAGATAGAATACCTCTCACATAGAGCGTTTCGTATGTTGGAGAGAGAGACTGTGTCGCACGTACATCATGAGACCTTCAGCTCCTGGGGGAAGTGACCGACATGTTCCTGTGGGCCTGAGGACTCAGGCTCCTCCCCAGAGCACTCGGCACAGAGGATGGAGCTGGTGGAGCGAGGCTTTCGCTGAAGGGTTTCTGGGATTAGGCACGGCAGGCACAGGGGCCCTGGTGCAGGGACTCATGTGTTCCCGCGTGTGACACAGCAACCTTCCTGGGTCCCGGCCCAGCTTCCGAGGTTAGCTGACAGCCGAGGACGCGTCTCTTCTCAGAGGTGGGCTCTCCTCGTCAGGGTCTGACTGCACCTCCGTGGCTGAGGCTGCCGACTGTGCATGCACGGGGTCCTCAGAGGGTCCCCCCGACACCCATGTGTGTGGCAGGCTGGGCAGCTGACACCTTGAGAACAGCTCTCAGTGACAGACAGCCCGGAAGCTGACAGGTGAGCGGCCCAGCTCCTGCCCCCCGTTGGGGTCACTGAGCTCAGCCCCACTCTGGCTCCCAGAGCCTGCGAGCCGGACACAGGGCAGGGGCAGGGTCAAATGCACAACAGGATGGACAGCTGCACCGGGCTGGGGGACCGCCTGGCCCGCCCAGCACCGCCCCCGCCTCCACCCGCCCGGTGGCTCTGACTGGGAAGCTGACGTCGGATGCCTGGAGCGTCATTCTGGCCGGGAGCCGCCGGGCCCCGCGGTGGCACCTAGGGACTGGCCGTGCTGGCCTGGCGGAGGGGACTTCCCTGCGGTTCCTGAGTGTCTGGGAAGCCAGTGCCTGGGACAGGCTCGTGTCAGGGAGAGAAGGGGAAAGCTGGCCCCGCTGCAGAACCTGGAGACCTCGCTCTCCTGGGGACGGGTGCCCGGGCGGAGTCCCCGGGCAGCTGACCCCAGAGCCACAGGCCGCCGTGGAGCCCGGCCCGGGGTCACCGACCCAAACGGCAGACGGAGGCTGGCAGCAGAGCACCTGCGACTGCTCGTCCACCACGGTCACCGAGACCGAGCCAGCCATCAGGGCCAACCCCTCTTTGTCGGACAGATGAGGAGAAAAAGGGTGGCTCTACAGAATCAAAACTTTTATTCAGAACGAGCGTTCACAAGATGAAGGTCGGGGCCTCATAAGGGCAGGGCGCCCGCGTATCCAGAAGGGATTAAAAGCAACAAATCGATCTGCTGCAGATTAAAACGGCCCAAGACCACGCTCACCGGCCGTGAAACGTGGTGTCCGCTCACTCCGAAAACGAAGGTGAACGTCCAGGCGGCAGGAGCCGGGAGCCCCCGGGACCAGACCCTGCGCCCGGAGGGGACCGGCCAGCTCCGCCCGCCACACCTCCCCCCACCCGAGGCCCCGGTCCCAGCGCTGCGATGCCACCCGTGGGACCTCCGGGCAGGCGCGGCGTCACCGGTTCACTGGGGCGGCACTTGGTGCTTCAGCTTGATGAGTCTCCTGAGGCACTCGTCCCTCCACTGCCTCCGGGCGGCTAAGTGCTCGGGGTCGGCTGGGACCTTGGCGCACATGGCCTGGACACGGAGCAGAGAGGGAGAGGATGAGGGGACCGCGAGCTTCCGAACCCAGACCCCGGGCCCTCCGCCGAGGACGCGTCGCGGTCAGCTCCAGGCCTACTGCCCGCCGCCCCCCAACCCCCGCCAGAGGCCAAGAGCCACGACAGGGACCGCGCGTCCAGGCCAAAGGCCGCAATGCCAGCTGCAGAGCCGTCCCCTGTGCCCCGAGCGCCCGCCCAGCCGCCCAGCCGTGCAGATCCACGTACCTGGTGAACCCGTTCAACGGTGGCCCCGGAAAACTCGGGCACGGGCCCGAAAGTCCTGAGGACGTGTTTCATGCCTTCGCCGTACCTGTCACAGTAGCTTCGCATGCCTGCAACCACACGGGCACAGCACCGGCGGTGTCAGGGGGAGTGTGGCGCACGCCCCGCTGACGCCCCTTCCCGCGGGCGGAGTGGGCAGCGCCCCAGGGGGCTGGCCCCCGGCTCAGGGTCCTCGCCCCGGCTCAGGGTCTCCCAGCTCTTGGAACCCCGAGCAGCACGGGACGTGGCCCGCCACCCGCCACCCCAGTGCCCTCCGGCGACGTCCCGTGAGCTTGCGCGTGCAGGGGGCTGGGACGCGTTGCTGAATGTGCGACGCCACAGCCCCCTGGGCTCTGTCCCCTCCACGCTTTCCCCCGACTCTGTTGGGGTCGACAGGCTGCAGGTTCTCTACTACGGCTCGGAGTGTGACCAGCCAACGGCAGCCCCGTCACCGACTCCCGGCTGCCTCTGTCCCCAGCCGCACTGCCCTCCACCTGCCTCGGCAGCCTCCGGGCCCGTGGGGACCCAGCACCCCTGTCAGTGCTAACACAGGGCCATGGGGCTTCCGTGGAGACACCCGTGCCCAAGGGGCTCAACCAGGAGGGCTGTCCGCCCCCTCGGCCCTTCCCATCCGCTGTGGCCCGCACAGGCGTGTGCGAGGGGTAAGCCAGACCACGGCCAGCCCTGGGCACACGCAGAGGAGGCATCTTGAGGTCCTGGGCCTGCTGGGGTGCCGGCCGAGCCGCCCGCCGCGATGCCTCCTTCGTTTCCAGCATCTTCCACGACCAGAAAGGTTGGTCCGTCAGGGTAAAGGTAACACGGGACAAACGGACGGCAGGAAGGGCGCAGACCCCGTGCTCGGGTGTCACCCGCCCACAACACTGCACGTGACCAACTTGAAATAACAAGTGCCGCCACGAGACAGTCTCCACAAAGAGAAGGGGAAGGTCCTCGGGGCTGGCTGCGGCCACGCCACGTGGGAGCCCGAATCCCCGGTTCTGTCCGACCCGTCTCAGGGCACGGAGGCTATGCCCAACGAGCTCCCCGGGAGGAGCTGCTTTGGGGGTGAGAGAGTCGAATGCACCCACTCTTCTGACCCCGCCCCGGTTCCGTCTCACTCAGCGCGAGCGTGGCCGGCCACTCGGGGGCCGCCAGGCCCCGGTACCGCCGTCCGAGCAGCGCCAGCAGTTCTGGAATGCGGAAAGCAACTGTACGTTTTCTCCTCCGTGCAAATTACGTGTTTGCTCCGCTTTAGCTACGTGAGGATTCGTCCAAACTGAAGGCGGCGACATCCAGACACATACGGTTCGCTCCGGGGAGCAGAGACACGAGACCAGGTAAGCTGGGGAGCCGGGTGCGGTGGGCGTGGCTGCAGCGGCGGGTCCCTTCGTGGGGGGGGTGGGAACGGCAGCCCGGGGAGCGGGGTGGCCGTGCCTCGGCGCAGTCCAGCTCCAGTGTCGCCGCCGGATGACCCCGGTTTCTGAACAATGTCCGCTTTTCACGGTCCCTGCGAAGTCACTCGGCTCACCCAGGGGATTTCTAGACCGTGTTCCCTACTGCTTTTTATATAATTTGCAGTTTTAAAAGGGCATTTAAGTCATCTGGATAGAATAAGACACGGCAGAACTCTTCATCCTACAGCTGGTGGTCAGCCCGACCCCCCGCTTGTCTGGGACACCTGCGAAAGCATCGGTGTCACCGGCCTGAAGACTCTGAACCCCGTTCCCGACGAGACATTTACAGGGAATGTGAACGAGCAGGGGGAAGAATCGGGGGGGAGGGGATCAGAGGCCACTCCGCCCACGTGTGCAGACCCGCCGCCCACCGGCAAGGACCCTGCCGCCCCGGGAGGCTCTGCCGCGTGCCCCAAGCACAAGCTCACGGTGACTCAGAGTCCCAGGTATCCACCGTGTCCCAGAGAACCCGTCACGCTGCCGCCACCTGCGGCTCAGAGCGGCGCAGGAGCAGGCTGAGCGACGACTGACTGTCCTAGGACACCCATCCCGGTGGAAAAGGGAAGAAGCCGCCTCGCCGGCCCCCAGCCTGCTCCTCCCATCCCGCGGGGGGCCTTCCCTGGTCCCGCGGCCATTCTGTTCATCCGAGTAGGTCCAACAACACTCGGGGAGCTGAGCTTTTTGGAAGACTCTGAACCCCGTTCCCGACGAGACGTTTACAGGGAATGTGAACGAGCAGGGGGAAGAATCGACCCTCATGAGACCGGATGTAGCTCCTCCTGCCGCTCTCGGACTGGGATTGCTCCGGCTGGAAGACCCCGCCGGT